CATGCTCCGCGCCCGCGCCCGTCGCGCAGAGCGGGCGGGAGGCGGCGCGCCCGCCCGCCAAGACGGTGCGCCCGCGCGCGTCCGCCGCGCCGCGCCGCCGCGAGAACGCAGCCGCGCGATGTACGCCCCAGGGCCGACATGTACGCTGCGTCCCAGCCCGGTCCGGGAGAAAAAATGCGTTTGGTGCGTGTGGTCAAAGGGGGGACCCTTGCGGCGCGGCCGCGCACGGCGGGATCGCGCTCGCGCGCGGACGGCGCGTCGGCGAGCTTCCAAACGGCGATTGCGCACTCCTATGCATCGGGATGCGTCCCCGGGGTGATTCCCAGCGCGATCCGGGCACATAAAATCCGGGCTGTTTGGTGCGATTTCATGGGCGGATGGCGGGCGGACACGCAGATTCGCGCACCGCGGGCCCCCGTCGTGTCGGACCGCGGCGTACGTTTGTGCGCACATGCCTGCAGACGTCCTTGTGCGTTCCGCGCTGCGTATGGGCGCGTTCGACCGGTATGGACGGCGGCTGTGTCGTGCGGGACGGCGGGGGAGGCGGGGCTGCGTCCGTGGACAAGTGGACCGAGCGCGCCGACGACGCGCTGCACGGGCTCGAGAACGCACGGGCATGATGTATGCACCAGGGTGCAGGTTTCAGGTGAGTGTCAGCGTCGTCTGAGAAGAAAAGGTGCTCACCGAGTGTTTTTCAAAGGGGGGACCTTTGCATCGTGGCCGCGTACATACGGATCGAGCTCGCGCACGGACGTCGCTCCGGGGAGCTACCAAAACACGATGGCGCGGTTCTATGTAACAGGGCGCATCCGTACAGTGAATCCCAGCGTCATCCGAGCAGGTGAAATTCGCGACGTTCAGTGCGATTTCATGGGTCGGGAGGCCGGCAGACACATAGATTCGTGCGCGGCGGGCCCTCTTCGTGTCCTACCGCCGTGCGATTTCGCGTACGCACCCCGGTGTACGTCTCTGACTGGCTCCCGCTGCGTTTGAGCGTTGAGGATGTCGTGAACGCCGCCCACGTCGTGCTAGATGGTGGGGGAGCCCGTACTGCGTCCCCAGAAAGGTCGACCTCCCGCACGGACGACACGACGTGTCGCTCCGAAAACGCACCACCACGATCTACGCGCCAGCGCCCACACGTCCTGTGAGTTTCAGCCTCTCCGGAGCAAGAACCCATCTCACCGAGTGTTTCGCAAGGAGTCCCGACGCCGTGCGCACAGATTCGACGCTCGCACACGCACGACACCCCGGGCGATGTCCAAACCACTCCTCCGCGCTCCTACGCACCCGGGCGCACCCGCACAGCGAGCTGCGGCGCCGTCCGCGCACATCGAACTCGGGGCGTCGCGCGCGATTTCATGGGCGGGACCCCCGGCGGACACACAGAATCGTGCGTCCCGGGCCCTCCTCGCGTCCTGCCGCCGCGCGTTTTCGCGTACGCACTCTCGTGCACGTCTCCGTATGGCCCCCGCACCGTTTGAGCGCGTATGGACGGCGTAGGAGCTGGGGATGGTGGGATAGGTCGCGGGGAAGCCTGTGCTGCATCTCCGGAGAGAGGTTGAGCTCGCGCGCCGACGACGTACCGTGCTGCTTCGAGAACGCGCGGACGCGATATATGCGCCATGGCGACTATGTACTGTGAGTTTCAGCCTTGTTCGAGCCGAAACGATGCTGATAC